CAGCTTAATCTTGGCCCCTGTATCCGTCTTGTCCTTGGGCCCTGCACTGGACCACATACACAGCCGAGCGCTTGACGTAAATGGTAATTGCAAGGAAGCAGGCAAAGAAAATAAGCTGGACCGCCAGGCCAAACAGGGCAATGTACTTTCCCGCATTGCGTGTGCTCTCTGTCGCCTGCATGCTGCCGCCGGTCGCCTGGATCAGGAACGAGAATATGTCGCTGCCAAAGAAGAACCATGTGATGAACTTGGGCTTGAGCCAGAACCGGTGTGCCGTCACGTTTGAGCGGCGCACGACCTCGCCAATTGTCTTGTAGTTGAACAGCGCCAGCGCATTGGGCGGTAGCAGCAGACACAGGTTCATGAAGACAAACAAGCCCAAGGATGTGTGGTAGATGAGAACGTTACGGACGATGTACCCGACGCTCTCTGCTACTGCGGTGCCGACCAAGATGTACATCCATTTCGGCGCGTTGTAGTGGATTGTCTGCCAGATGTGGATTGCAGCGATAATAGCAAATATACCTGCTGCTGCTCCAGGCACACCGTTGACAGGGTGATAGTCGAAAAGGTCTTGGACTGTGTATGCCATTGTAGAAAAGCTAGATGTACAATCTTGAAGCTGTCAGTGGATGAGTGAGGACATGTGAGGCTGATGGAAGCTATATCAGCTTCTTATATACCACATATTTTCCACACTTCTGGCCGCAGTCGTGTACCAGCGGTAGAACAAAGAAAATAGAGCAACAATATGTTTCTATTGCCAAGATCGCTAAGCAAGGTTTCCAAGAACTCGCAGGAAATTCCGCACAAATTTTCTATTACCTAAGGGCCATAGTGTGCCAAGGTCATCGCCTCGACAAAATACCAAGATGGTGCGGAAAAACTGAGGCTGAGCTGCTTGGCGCCTTCTGAAATTGGACCACATACAGTCCATGTGTATGGGGTTGCTAGGGGGTTTGCAGGGTCTTGGCAAGGACCCCAAGCCCGCACATGCAAAACAATAGAAAATTCCACTATTTGTTGCCAAGCTTGCCGATTAGGTAAAAGCCACGATTGCACTAGGCATCAGCCAGTTCAAGCAAGTGTAAAACAGGAATTGCTCAAAAATGCATGTTCCTGGAATATTCTGGCTCTACCCCCATGGTGTTCAATTAACATTTAACATTATTTAAATATGCTGGTTGCTGGTTGCTGGTTGCTAACCTAGGGGATGAGTGGTGATTAGGTATATATGAATAATAACTTTTCGAAAGTAGCTGAAGGGAAGAAGAAAAGGTGATCGTCTGTCTGGGCCTTTGTACGCATGCGTTCCGGCCTTGCTCATGGCGGCGCAGGTGGACTCCAGTCTCCGAGTGTCAACACTGGTACTTTTTCAATGATAGCATATCCGAAACAACTGAATTCAAACACATTGCCTCACCAACTACTACCGAGAAGTGCTGTGGATTGGACTTTGGCGTTTACAAGCACATCGTCAAAGTAGTGTGCCTAATGCTCGCAAGTATTTTTCATACGATCTCCTTTGACAATGCAAAGCTGTAGACCAAATGAGTGATTTCATATGATATCGTGTTGCTGGTAGCATCTGTTCTAGCAACCAGCATCAGCCTAGCTTCAGACTCACTATTATCTCCATCGGAAAACTGGTCCGCTACTGGGTCAGTTATATAAGTCATCTTCTGCATTTTCTCGTTCCGCTATGGCTTACCAGTCTTCTGGCTGGCTTCTTGTGCATCCCAATAGTATCACAGATATGCTGGACCGTTGTCTTTTTTGACTGCTTCTTTTTTCAGATTGCCCCAGGTTGAACCAGATAAACTGCACCATTCTAACCAGCACCGTCAGGTGAATAGCGTCCATCGTTTTGTCGATGGCGCTAGTGTTGCCGGTATTCGCGATATTGAGGCTATGGCCGAATCTTACAGCTCCAATAACGTCAAGCTCCATGCAATGTATAGCATAAAAGTAGCTGTCTCTTGATGCCCTTCCATGCTTCGTAATCTCGGCATTCTACAGCTTAATCAACGAGTTAACACCTGTGACAACGACCAGGTGCCCAATGGCCTGTAGCCTGTGCGTAGAGAGGGGGCAAATTTGTTCATATTAATCACCGTCGTTTCTTGCTAAAGTAGTTTACTACTGCCAACAGCGAGCAGTGCTTTCACATAGTGCTTTCATATGAGTGCGCTTGCTAAGTGACTACTGCAGCATGCATTCCATTTATGTAATGTGTAAGCGATGCTTCGGAAATTTGCTCATACATGACAGGTGGTCCCTGTTTTTCTAAACAGTGAGCGTTGACCAACCTCGCTGACAAATATATTGCCAATGCGTCCAACACCGCAACGGCATATTTACTGATGCTAACACACTAAACCTTGGCAAGAGAAACATTAACCCAGCAGTTGACCTTCGGGTTCACAGGAGACGTGACAATAAACGACTCGCTTGGAATCTCAACCGGAATTCCCAGGTTGCTTAGCTTGTGAGCACCATATGGTGCATCCTCGGGCAGCTCAAAATCATACCTGCGCAATACATTGGCAAGAACCGTGTAGAGTTCGAGCCAGGCAAGGTTACGGCCGATACAGACCCGAACGCCCGAGCTGAATGTCAGCAAGTCCTTAAGTCGCTCCGCGGAGTCTTGGCCGAGGAAGCGTTCAGGGTCAAACGTCTCCGGGTTCTTCCAAGTGCGCGGATTACGTTGGCATGCTGCGGTGGAAACACAAATCTGTGCATCGGCTGGGATGTAATGTCCCTGAATTGTCGCTCCCTCCGCCGGGGCGCAGCGCGGAAGAAACCCGGCAACCGAGGGATTGATACGCATGGTCTCATGGATGACAGCTGAGAGATACGGGAGCTTGGATTTCGCCTCACTGAACGAAATGGCCTGCGAGGTGTCAGGGAATGTTGTGCGCACCTCCTCAGTGACACGCCGGTACACATCCGGGTGGTGCATAAGCTGCATCATGACCCACGAGAGCGTGTTGCTTGTGGTGTCAGTACCAGCAACGAGCATCAAGAAGATCTCCGACATCAGGCTCTTATCAGCAAGCATTTCGCCCGTCACTGGGTCCTTGGCGTCGATAAACTTTTGCAACACGTCGATTTGCGGCGGCTTACCAGTCTCGCTGATCAGCTTCTTGCGCATGTCGATGGTGTCTCGGATCAGCTGGACCGTCGCGTTTTGCGACTGCTTCTCCTCCTTGAATAGCGCTGGCACAAACCGGGAAAACGGAATCATGCTGGTCAGCACCTTCAGGTGAATGGCGTTCTGCATGTTGTCAATGACCTCAGTGTTGCCGGTCTGCAGGATATTGAAACTCTGGCCGAATCCTAGAGCGCCAATAACATCGAATCCAGCGCGATGGAACGAGTAGAAGTAGTTGATGCGGGCCTTGTTGCCTTGCTCTGCAAGAGCCGCATCCCACACCTTGATCAGAGAGTTGGCACCAGCATCAACAACCAAGTCCTCAACTGCCCGCATCGTGTGCACAGCAAAAGCATCGCCAATCTGCCGGCGCCGAACCTTGTTGAGCTCGGGATTGGTTGTCGAAAATGAATTTTCTGCCAGCATCATACCAATGGTATATGACGGGCCCTTTCTGAATGCATGGGTTGCTAGAACGAGACGTGTGTCCGACGTGCTGGATAGAGAGACGAAGTCTGCGCCAACGCGAACAACCTCGCCATACCTGGCATGGAGCTGGGTAGTGTATGAGTGGTAGCTTCCAGTCATGGTGTGGTACCTGAGAGGAAGGTTGGAGAGCTTGTTCAGGAACGGTCCAGGAATTGTGGAGAGGGGCGAGAAGAATGCACGCTTGACAGTAAGGGCAGCGTAGACCACTATGGCCAGCGATACGGCTGGGAGAGCCAGTGGTGTTGCGAAGGAGAGAATCTCTAATATCATGGTAGAAAAGAAACGGCGCACGGTAGAATTCAAATGTTACGTTAGCGGGCAGGTGCTTGATTTCTCTTGAAAAACGACATAAGCATTCTGCCCTTTTATACCCTGGAATCTACCTGCATTGCAGATGGGGTAGCTATGTGTGTATTGCACGGTGAGCGCAAGCAGTCGACGCCGGGGCCGACGAATGCCCATTGTTCATAGTGAATGGGTGTTCATAATAAATAGGTGTTCATACTGAACTCCGTCCGCGGTTGCATCGGCAAAGTGCCTCGCTGTTGGCAGAGGCGGACATGTTCCTGGTCTGTGAGCTCTCATGTCCGTGATAAATGCATGACGTATTGTGATTGTCGACGCCCGTATATGCCAGCTGCATGCAAATCCAAAATTGCTGTTTGTCAGCCATAGTGCTTGGAGAACAGCCTTTAATCCTGATTAATGCAACGGCGGCATATTGGTATTCAGCCTGAGTTTCAAGATAATCCGGCTCAAACCGCAGGCTGCCACCAGCGACACTTGGGATTACGGTATAATTATACATATAGCATAAGGCATATGTGCGCTGGAACGTGTGACGCCGGGTTAGTGGATCGGCTCGTCGATATGTGGGACTGAGGTAGATAAAATAATGGTTTGAATGATAGGCCATGGCCAGGTGCTTCGGTTGGACAAAAGCAGGGATAAACGACAGGCACTAGTACCATGTTAAAAGGGGTACAGGCTGTCCTAGCAACGTGTGTTAGTAAATGCAAAAGGATAGCACGGATATATCCAGGTATAATTCGGGTGTCTGACAGCTGGGGACGGCATCCGCCAACATAACCATGGCTATCAAAATCGTACCTCAATGGATCATTGGACCACATATGCCTTCACGAGCACTCTCCTACTTTCACTTGCCCGCAGACCCTAATCTTTTCTTGCCTATCCAACAGACTTTAAGTGTAACCCTTGTGGTATCAAGGATACGCAAGTCTGACAGATATTGCAAGTAGCTGGTAATTCATGCTAAATGTTTATATTTCGCCAAATATAGTCTGATATTGCTGGTCAAATAACGATTCAGCAATTACTCTTTGGGCACCCCAGGTTAGTACTGATGTGGGGACACAGCCGGAATTTCAACTGGAGCACCAGACTTGCCCAGCCTATGTGGTCCATAGGGCGCATCCGTGGACAACGAGAAATCGTACTTGCGCAAGGTGTTGGCAAGAACTGTGTAAAGTTCAAGCCAAGCAAGGTTTCGTCCGATACAAACGCGAACGCCTGAACCAAATACCAGTATATCCTTGACTCGCTCTGCTGAGTCGGGACCAAGGAAGCGCTCAGGGTCAAATACATCGGGTTCTTCCATGTATGCGGATTGCGGTGACAAGCGGCGATTGACACGCAAATCTGCGTATCGTGCGGGATGTTGTATCCCTGAATTGTTGCCCCCTTCGCCGGAGCGCTGCGTGGAAGTATACCTGAGGCTGAGGGGTTGATTCGCATTGTCTCATAGATGACTGCCGAGAGGCACGGTAGCTTAGCTTTCGCGTCCTCAAACGAGATGACCTGGGGGCTATCTGGGAATATAGAGCGGACTTCTTCGGTGACATGCTTGTAAACGCTGGGGTTGTGAAGCAAATGGACAATTGCGTACGCTATCGTGTTGCTGGTAGTGTCGGTGCCAGCAACGAGCATCAGCGCCACCTCCGACTGGAGCTGGCGAAGCGTTAGCTTGTCACCAGTAACCGGATCCTCTGCATCGATAAACTTTTGCAGCACATCGACGCGCGGCAGCGCATCAGCTTCTTCGATGAGCCGCTTGCGTATCTTGTTCTCCTCAGGGTCGATAGTCGAGAAGGTATTGGCCTCAGTCAGGTGCCCCTCTTCATACATAGGGCCTTTCAGAAATGCATGGGTGGCAAGAACGAGCCGAGCATCGGAGGTGTTGGACAGAGAGACATGGTTGTATCCAATGCGCACAACTTCGCCATACTTGGCATGCAGTGCGCTTGTATGCGAATGGTATTGTCTGCGGATAACACGGCACTTGAGCAGCACGTTAGAAAATTTGTTCAGGAGCCCTGGGGCCTGGGCAAGAGGAGAAAAATGGAATATGAGAAAGCCGCTCAACAGAATTGCTGAACATGTGTACAGAGTATTCAGTGGACACGTTGGACAATTACAAGTGCTTTAGGTGCGTTGGCAGGGAGGGGGTAGCCGAGAATACAGGCTAGTAAAGCTCCACTTTGACCCAATCACCTACATATGCATGGCTGTGGGAGCTGCAATGCTAAATATAGCTTGGGCAACAGCAGAGGCTGTCTCCAGCTTTGTATCTAGCAGCGAATGACCAGGGTGTAGCTTTGAGCTATTGGTCAATTGCTAAGCGCACCCCAGCATCTATACTAGCGGAGTGTTATACCAGCTTTAATTTTGAGATACTTCTGCTGCTGGCGTATGTAGCCCTTATTGACGTAGTGTTCTGGGCGCATCTATGCCTCTGGATGGCCTTTGACCATGGACATGAAAACTGGTGCCAGGACCAGCTGGCCAAGACACCCAGGAGATACAGCTTTGCATCAGCGGCTGCAACAACAATGGCGGAGCTGCTGGCTGTTTGTCTTGTCTGGCACCCAGGGTTTGCGAAAAGCGAAATAGCATGGCAGAGATGAGCAGAAGACTGACGCTGATGCAGCATCGGTGCGGGTCAGCGAGGGAATGAGGGGCAATATAAATATCTCGGACACCCGCAGCCCGCAACAGAGCCGGTGTGGAGGCAGGCGCTGCCACTGTGGAAGGCGGGGGCAGAGCTGCTTGTTTCCCGCGCAAGCAGGCGCCAGACGTGACAGATTGGGTGGGGAGGCAAAAAGCGCTCATCGCGGCATAGGGAAAGGAAAGGAAAACATTGTCGCAGTCCGTCGATCCCTTTTGTGGACAGAAGCTCATGTGAAGAAGAGAATAATCCACACCAAGGGGTCTCGGAAAAGGCAACATTGACGCTGGTTCGGCTTGGCAGGCCAGCGATTTGCTGGAAGGAAGGAGTGAGCGATTTTTGCTACTGAATGAGCAGCCACATTTGTAAAAAAAAGTTGTTCCTCAAAGATTCCACCGCCCGCAAAAACCACTCATCCTCTTTCTTCTCCTCTTTTTATTTTTCGCTCGCTTCACTTTCTTACTCCACGCCTGTTTCTCACGCCTGCAACACTTTATTTGTCCATTTGCCTTGTTGTGCACCACCATACAAAACACATAGACCATGTCAACGGCAGCCAGCTCGCCTGAGCCCCAGGAGAACGCCAGCACATGTGATGCTGGAGACCGCATAGTGAGCGCCAGCCCCTCACCCATCACTGGCGAGCTCCACAAGCAGCACGAGGGCGACAGCGCCTCACAGAGCGGGAAGAAGCCGCGGCTGGTGATCCAGCGCACGCACGCAGCTTTTGTCTCGAAGCTCTACGCAATGGTCAGCGACAGCAAGACCGACCAGCTGATATCGTGGACAGCCGATGGCGACAGCTTCCAGGTCATGGACCCGATGGAGCTGTCGCAGGAGGTACTGCCGCTGTACTTTAAGCATGGCAATTGGCAGAGCTTTGTGCGGCAGCTCAACATGTATGGGTTCCACAAAGTCAACGACCTGGAGTATGGCGGCGTCTTTGGCGATACGCAGCTATGGATGTTCAAGCACCTGCACTTCCTGCGTGGCCAGCCAAAGCGCTTGCAGATGATTAAGCGGCGTGGTCCCGGATCTACAAAGCCCAGCGGCCCCCATGAAGCGTCCGAGCACAGCACACCAAGAGCGGCTGCGTCGCCGGCCACCCCGACCGGGGCTTCTCTGGCTCCAATTGCCGTGCAGCCCGCAGCGCAGCCTGCGACGCCCGCAGCACCCGACCTCATGTCCAGATTCGAGCGGCTCAACAGCCGCATCTACCAGCTCGAGGAGAGCATCTACAACATGCAGCGGGCGAACCGCGCGTTGTACGATGAGAACCAGGATCTACGTACAGCCCACATGAAGACGCAGGATGCATTTGCAGGCCTGCTTCGCTTCCTAGAATCTGCTGTGGTCAAGCCTAGCATGCAGGGCCAGAGCAGCGAGACAGCCGAAAGGTTCCAGCAGCTGGCCGAGGCGACGGCCCCGCTCATGGCGAGCAGGTACCTTGGTCCCCCGCCACTCGCCTTTTCCACACCTATGGCGGCACCGCCAGCCGTGCAGGAGGCCAAAGTCCCTCCGACCGCCTCGTTTCGCCCCGAAGTGAGAAGGCACGAAGGGCTGCCGTACATTCTGCCAAAGCGCACTCCTCAGCAGGCCCCCTTCCAGCTCCGTGTCCCCAGTCTCTCACCACCCACCTCATTCTCTGCCATGAGCCGCAGCCGTGATGATGCTGTGCTGGTGCGCAAGCGCCGATCGAACAGCAGCTCCAGCAACATGAGCGCATCGTCCAGCAGCGAAGCAGGCGATAATCCAACGCCCTCGCCCGACTCACTGCTGGCCAACACTCCACCTGGTGCGCAGACGCTGCCATCCATGCGTGTGGTGCTGCCGCCGATTTCTGGCATGATGGAAGGTGCAAAATGCAATGGGCAACAGAGGCAACAGCCGCAGCTGCAGCCGCTCGGGTCGCACCAAGCAGTGGTGCCGATCCTGCCGGCGCCAGCGTCACTACAGTCGCTGCGCGAGACGCTGGCCAACAGCAGCCCGGCCAAGCGCCGCCGCGCCGATTAGCGGGCGGCAAGATCGCCAGCAGCCCTGATCCATCGACACTGTAAATTGTTATTTCTATCAAATCAGCTTCAATCCATGATCATGCGATTACCGCCTCGCTTGCGCCGCCTCCCCCTTTGTTCAGGCAAAGTGGAAAACACAGCCAGCGCGCGTTTGCGGTTTGCATTTTTCTCGCCCTTTTAAGACACAGTTGCGCACCATTTATTCATATTTTATAGCTGAAGGCTCAATCTTTTTTCAATTTATTTTTTCGTTTAGCACGCGACCACGAGTCTCTGCCCATCACCAGCACAGCGAGAAGAAACAAGCAAAAACACGTATTCGCAAATGGCGTCGCTTGCCACCCATCAGTGCCAGCGGCAGACGTGGTCAGCGTACTTCGCATCCGAGGACGTGGTGAAGCAGTTTGAGGACATTGTGGACTCGCTCGTCACAGAGGTGGAGATCTCAGCATCGACGGCCCCGTCAGACGCGACCTGCGCCCAAAATCACAGCTGAGCTTTTGGCGCAGATTACGCATCAGCTGCAGATAGCGCAGGAGCGAGTCTTGGGCAAGAGCCGCGAGAAGCCAGGTGCCTGGCTCAGCAAAGCTGCCTGCCAGTTTGTTTTCTGTCCCCAGCGACTCAGTCAAGGAGCTAGGGCCGCTGTACAACATGCTCAGCGCGACGCTCGAATACTGCAGTCCTGAATGGCGTGGATCTTGACAGCACGCAGTGGGCCACCGGCCCAACGGCTGGTCACATTCTGACGCAGGTGCGGCAGAAGCTCGCCGATAACCGCCAGTTGCCAGCGGTACGCGTGCACCTTGCGTCTGACATCGCTGCTGACGATGCCGCCAGACTTGGCAAGACTGTTAGCGATCTGGGTGGCCGCATCGTCAGCTCGGAACAAGAGGCGACGCATATTGTAGAGAGCGTCAAGGTGCGCGGCTAATGAGGCCGGCGGAGCAGTGTCGGGCGACGACGTGTGGTTCCGTACGCTCAAGAAGCACAACGAGATGGTGCTCGTGCACTGGTGGTACACACCCGGACTCATACGACGCCTGGGTGACTGCCGCACCGCCATACGCGGCAGAGCCAGAGGACGCGCCTGACCATACTGGCCCGTGGCGTGTATCGGTGCAGTGGATCGAGGATAGCGTAAAGTACAACGAGTGGCTTAATGAGGAGGACTACGAGTCGAGTGCCAGCGCCGATAATGCCGAGGCGGCGTCAGGCGAGGCCAGCAGCAGCGTGGGTACTAAGCGCCGCGCACATGTGTCGCTTGCCGGCGACGAGAAGCGGCTGCGCGTGGACGGCGAAAACGGCGAGATGCCCGAGGGTGTCGAGGCGCAGGATCTCGAGGAAGCAGCGCTTGCAGCTGGGAACCGCAAGCGCAACAACGAGTTTGAGCCTCTTGTGAACGGTGAGCTGGCAAATGTACCTGCAGAGGGTGTGGTTGACGAGTCCAAGAGCAAGGAGGCGGATAATGAGGCGAGCGAGCCCAACAAGGAAGCCGCTGTTAACGGCGAGGCGGCTAAGGAAGGTGAAGCTGACAAGGAGAGCGATAGCATGGATGTCGATAAGAAGGAGACCGAGACAGCCGAAAAGCCCGCCGAAGACAGCGAGACACAGCAGCAAAAGCAGCACCAGCGTGAGGAGGATGCTCGAAGGCTGCTTGTGGAGCAGACGCAGGAGATCATTGTGCCGAGCTACGCAGCCTGGTTCAACCTCTCGTCCGTCCACGATAACGAAAAGCGCGCACTGCCCGAGTTCTTCAACTCACGCAACCCGTCAAAAACGCCGACAATCTACCAGGAGTACCGCAACTTCATGGTCAACAGCTACCGGCTGAACCCGTCAGAGTATCTTACTGTCACTGCCTGCCGCCGCAACCTTGCCGGTGATGTGTGCGCGATCATGCGTGTACACGCTTTTCTAGAGCAGTGGGGCCTGATCAACTACCAGGCCGACGCTGACTCGCAGCCCTCTGCTATTGGGCCGCCATTCACCGGCCACTTCCGCGTCACCGCTGATACGCCGCGCGGCCTGATGCCATTCCAGCCGAGTCTCTCTGCAGCGAAGCTTGCGGGCAGCAAGGCCAATGGCGGAACGCCGGCGCCGGCTTCCAAGCCGCAGACGCCTGGCGACGTTGCCACGACCAACGGGCTGGCGACGCGCAAGGCCATCTACGACTCGCCGACGATCGGCAGTGAGGCAGCAAGACCCGCTCGCGAGACCAACGCATCCGAGAGCACGCCAACCACCAAGGATGTGTTCTGCTACACGTGCGGCGTCAACTGCACAGCAGCGTACTACCACTGCGTCAAGAGTCTGCGGCAGCGCGTGGACCTGTGCGGGCCCTGCTACCAGGACGGGCGGTTCCCAGGCACGCTGTCGAGCGCCGACTTTGTCAAACTGACGGACTCGACCACAGGCAACCCTGGGTCGGGTGAAGACTGGAGCGACCAGGAGACGCTACTATTGCTGGAAGGCATCGAGATGTTCGATGATGACTGGAACCGGATTGCAGAGCACGTCGGTACGCGGTCGCGCGAAGAGTGCGTGCTGCATTTCTTGAAGTTGCCGATTGAGGACCCGTATGACGTAGCGCCGACCAAGGACGCAAAGCTCGCACAGGCGGCAGTTGTGCCGTTTTCGCGTGCCGACAACCCAATCATGTCTGTGGTTGCGTTCTTGGCATCGAATGTCAACCCAGGTGTCGCTGCGGCAGCCGCGAAGGCGGCGCTGGCTGAGCTGACAAAGAGCGCAAAGCCTATTGAGGTAGACGGTGCTGATAAGGAGGCTTCCGAAAAGCCTGCCGAGACCGCTGAGGCCGCTGAGGCTGCTGAGGCTGCTGAAATCACTGAGGCCGCCGAAACCACTGAGGCTGCTGAGGTCACCGAAGCTGCTGACAAGGTAGGTGGTGTCACCGAAAAGTGTGCCGACGCGGAAGATGCTGCCGAGGCTTCTGAGAAGCCTAAGGACGATGCGGCCATGGATGTAGACAAGGAGGAGGAAAAGGCCCTGCCAAACGGCATCAGCGCCGCAGCGTCCGACGCCTCAATGAAGAGCGACGATGAGGCGGAAAAGACCACCGGCGATGCACCCAAGCAGCCGCGTCCAGCAGTCTCCCAGATGGCGGTTGCTGCGGCTACAGCACTCGGCACGGCGGCGGCCAAGGCGGCCAAGCTGGCTGAATATGAAGAGCGACAGCTGGAAACAATGGTACACCGTGCGGTCGAACTACAGATGAGCAAGCTCGAGCTCAAGATGCGGCAGTTCGAGGAGATGGAAGCAGCAGTGGAGCAGGAGCGCAAGGATCTGGCCAGACAGCGCCAGCAGCTGATCGAGGAGTGCTGGGCGCTGAAGAAGAAAATGGCGCTGTTCGAGTCTGGTAATGCAGGGAGAATTGCGCAGGCGGCGCAGACGCAGATGTTTGCTGCCGATGACAATGTCAATCAGATTGTCAGGCCGCCGGTTGCGCCGGCTCCTGTGCCAACCCCAGCTGTGGCGCCAGCTCCGGCTGTGGCGCCAGCTGCAGCTACAGCCGCATCTACAGCTGCTGCTTCTGAGGCGTCAAGCACTCCAGCGCCAGCACCAGCACCATCAACACCGGTTGCGGTGACTGATGTGATTCCTACCCTCCCAACAGCTCCGGCTGTCCTAGCAGCGCCTCAGTCGGCTCCAACTGCTCCGTCAGCCCCGTCCGTCACGCCGACAGGTGTGAAGCCAGCGGTGAGTGCGCCGTCCGCCGTCCCTGCGCTGCCTACGGCTCTATCTGCGGCCCCCTCTGCGGCCCCAGTGTCTGCTGCGTCAGCCCCTGAAACACAAGTCCCAGCGACGGCTCCCACAGACGTACAGCCCATGCCATCCACCGATGCACCCGCGTCATCCTCTGCTTAATTTCTCCTCTTCCCTTTCCTATACCACCCTTAACAAGCCTCGACAGAATATAAGCAACATTTAAAAATAAAAAAAAATACTAACAGTTACGCGTAGAACAGAATATATTCATCCCTGGAACGACTCGAGCAGTGTCAGCAAGAATGTCTGCTCGGCGGATGAATTCGCAAACACGTCTTTAAGGTCGCTGACGGGGTTCCTGAGGAACGAGGGCCCAAACACGAGGGCCAGATTGCTGCTGTCCATCTTGGTCAACTTTTCGATCTCGGGATCCAGCAGATGTTTCAAAAAGCGCAGCAAAAAGTCCACGACGCAATACGACTCCTCGGGCAGGGCGCTCAGGATCTCCAGGGACGCCTTGCGGTCGCCAGAGCGCGCAATACACTGGTCATAGAGCACCTCGGGGATCAGAGGGTCAGCCAGGTCTCGCAGCCACTCCTTCAGCAGCGACGCGGGCACATTAGGATCGCGGAGATTCGGAAAGTCGGTCTGCTGGCCAGCCTCGATCATGAGGCGCGCCATAGCCACGGCATCGGCATCGCCGGGCACGCGGAACAGGCCCTCGGTGCGCTCGCCACCTAGACGTGTGATCTGGGCGGTCAGCAGCTCCAGGACGCGGGGCAGGCGGCCCTCAGCATTGACCAGCTCGGGGTTCTGCATGATCTCCTTCAGCGACCCGCCAAACACCAGGGCGCGGCGCGGCACGAGCAGCGCCAGGTGCAGCTCCTCCTTCGTCATCAGCGTGGTGCGGCTGCCAGTGCGCTTGATGCGGCCCAGCTGCAACAGCAGAAAGCGCTTGAGGTTCGCCGACTCCAGCTGCGCCGACTCCACAAAGACCTCGAGGTGCGGGAACAGCAGCTGCGACGGGCGGAAGGCATAGAACAGCACGCCCATCAGCACCCAGCCGCGCTCGGCGGAATCGTGGCTCGGATGGCCAGTGACCTGCTTTGCCAGCTGGCAGAAGACCTCGTCGCGCAGCAGCTGGTGGCGGATGCCCTGGTTCGCCAGCCACAGCACTTCAGAGAACAGATCGGTGTCGGTCATGGCACCCTCGAGATCGCGCATGAAGCACTGGATGATGGCGAAGCTGCGCGCGGCGTCGCGGTTCAGCTCGCGCGGAAGGTTCATCAGCGGGCGCGCCAGCGGCTCAGCGCTGTATGAGATCAGTTCCTCCACCGGCACCTTGCGGCGCAGGAAGCCGCGCTTCTGGGCAGCAAAGTGCGCTGCAGCAAATGCGCGCATCCCGAACAGAGCACGGTCGGGGCGGATCGACGGCATGCTGCGGTTGCGATGCGAGCCAAGCGTAGCCATGCTGCGACTCGGCTCAAACGCCGACTTGCCCGATACCTCGCTGAGCTCGCGCGGGCGGCCGCGGCTGCCCTTGCGTGGAATCTGCTCCGACATGCGTGTTGGCTCCTGTGTCACCTCGAAGCTCACCTCCGTGACACGCCGGCCCTGCTGGCTCACCGCATACCGCATCGCCACGCTGTCGGTGTCGCTGTCGCCCGACCGCTGCTCCGCCCCATCCTCCTCCTCGGCGATCCGGAGCCCTCCGTCCATTGCTTCCTTCAGCGTCTCCAGCGCCGTCTCCGACTGGCTGTGCCGCTGATTCGACAGCCGCTTCTTCTGCCGCTCCGCATCAGCCGCTGCGCTGCCGCGCCGCCCGGACTCGAGCCGCGCCTGTGCCTGCGCAATCGATGGCGACCGCGCGCCTACTGCTGTGGCCGTTACCTGTGGGCTCAGTGTCGATGAACCGCTGCCGCCCGCTGCGCTGTTTTTGCGGTGGTGCGCTGCCAGCGAGTTCTTGCGCGACACCCGCCCCTCGACGCTCCGGAGCGATGCACGCGACGCCTTACGTACCAGCGGGTCTACCTGGTCGTCGCTGAACGCAATTGATGCCCGGCTGGCCACCACCATCGACAGCCGTTTGCCCACCGACGACCCCAGCAGCGCGTGGAATGGCACGACTGTTGCGTGCCCGGGTGGATCCCACTCGGTTGCGCCTGTCCGCGAGTTGTAGTAGTACGGGATCCCGGTCTCCTCGTCCTGCAGCTCCCACCACTCGCCAGCTGGGTCTCGTGGTTTGCTACAGCAAACAATGCCATCCCGCTTAGCGAAACAACAACGCAATAAAGCTCTCCTCTGCCAGAATGCCTCCCCTACTTACATCGTGCTCTGTGGCCGCGCCCAGCTGCATTCGCCTGTTGCCTAAAACCAATAACAGCCTGTTAGAGCCTCCCACCAAACGCCTCCAGTCCTCCCCCTCACCCGTGCGTCTCGTCTACATACTGTGTTGGCATAAACAACCCGGCCTGTCTGCGGGTCGTGGAGCTCCAGCCAGTCGGGCACATGTGCGTGTTCTGCTGAGTCCATTTTCCTCAGAATGTGTCTGTCGCGCTTGGCGTAGAGAAAAATTATTAGTTTGAATAAAATATTACAGGGCTATGGAAAAGAGGCGAAAAGGAAAAATGAACGAGGTGCTATAGCCAACAAAGCAGGCTCCGGCTGTGGCTCCAAATAAGAAACTGTTCGTGTATGGTACTTGCTCGTGAACCCGCAAATCGTGCAATGCATCCATTTTTTTAACCAAATGGATTGCCGGGACAAGGTGGTCTTTGGTCCGCTCCTGCTTCCTGTTTCTTGTTTACCTTGTATCCACACTATTGCTCGGAAACCACATGGGGGGTGTGCGATTTCCTCCCTCGTTCATTTCCTAACACCTTCAAAAGAGACTGAATCTGGATGCCAGCCAGGAGCCAGCAAGCGAAAACAAAAACACCGCTCTTAATATATACCAGCCAGGATCTGCACCCATTTGAGCAGCGTCGCCATGCAGCTCCTGGCCATTATTGTTCAAGGCCATGCCTTCTCAAGCCGAGTATGTCATCAGAAACTGCTTCAAACCAAGGTCAGGTGCAGGACCGCAAGGCTGGCAATCCCACACCTGACGCACGACCATGTGCTGAAGACTCCTGCGCTCCTTCCAAGGCAGACCTAGTAAACCAAGCCCACGAGCTAATCGCAGCCCAGTTTGCCAGACAGCCTGAGAATATGGTACTGCAGATGCTGCGCCCGCAAGCATTCGTCTGTGGAAGCATTCTTCATCACTTGACAAGTCGGCTCGAAAAGTGCAACGCGCCTGCTCCCGGCCACCCACGCTCTGCTTACAACGGACACATTCCCTTCTGCCCGACCCTCAAAGTGCCAGCAATCCTACCTTTGCCAACTGCGCCCACAGAACTAGACAGTGGCCATCAGAAAGCGCCGGACGTCATCCAAACAAAGCCCAGTGGACCGAGGAATGGAGGAGAAAACGACGGCCAGCAGGCCTTGTCCAAGGACGACAAAAAAGTACATAAACCATGCTCCGCACCGCTCTGCACCTCACGATCCCAGCATCCCAGCCAAATACACGCTAGGCAGATGACATGGTTGCTTTTTTTTGGCGGGCTGTCCAGGAAATGAACATGTCACTGCCCCATCCATCCCTTGGAAAGTTCACTTGGACACGAGACAGCGTGAGCTGAGGGAACGCCAGAAGAAAAAAAAAAAAAAAAAGAATTGTCAAAAGAAAAAACCCTCACTAGCTCTTGCGACATCCAGCACACACAGGCCCACACCCTCGTGCAACTTTCGGAGGACAGAACAGGGAGGGGCACACTACGTAATGTACTCCTCAGCTCCGATCGTCCTAAGAGGCCAGCCGCTCACTCTCGGTCTGACGTCAGTGCGTTTCCTCTCAGAAGCCTTTTCCACGCACAAGTAAATCGCAAGCCCCCTACGCAATCGACATTCAGTCGAACTCGGCCAAAATACCTGCGCATCCCTCGCAGCAGAGTGGGGCCGAGAGAGGAAATGCACGCCAGGAATGAGAGGACGCGTAGCAAAACAAGACACTCCAGGAATCGACCGGATCCGACATCTGTCCGCCGACAGAACGTGCACGAACGGCCCGCTGGGCTGTGCCACGGAATGCCCACAAAGGAACAGGAATGGTTACGTGGTCTACACTAGCCCGTCACCACTAGATAAGAAGGCCACCATGGAGAGGGCCCTCACCCGTGGCAAGCAAGCATCAGTGCAATTCTCCACATCCTCAGAAAGATACAGCCGTCAATTGACGCCTGCAGCGGGAGCACGACACACGAGGGGTTAGAAAATTCCTTCTGGCGAGGCACAAAAGAGCTGCCCCATCGGAAAGGACGAACTCTTCGTCCGCCCCTCCCCATATCAAGGCACAGTCTCTTTCCGCCTGGCCAGACGGATTCTTGCATGCAGCCATAGAGTCCGCATTTGGAAGAGCCGCCTAGGAGCGCACAGATGAGCTGAGTGACTGGGTCGCGAGGGCATGGTACAGAGTGTGATAAATGACCTGTTTTAGCGTCTGCCTTCTCGGACAAGGTCTGAAACCACTGAGGAGCATTTTTTCCTCTGTTGCTTTCCCCCGACCGTTCACCACGAACACAAGTTACCCTTAGACTCCAGCTTGGGGAGGTTGTGGATCGAAGCGGACTCTGTATAGCGTGCTCCAATAGCGCTGCGGCCAAAGACCGCCTGCCATCCTCGCTCAGCGCCGTCGGTTCTGGCGGCACGAGAGCTGCTAGAACTAGATGGCCGAACAGTGGCTGCAGGGCTGCCGTCTGGTGCAAGCAGAATAGAGTGTGGAAATTGGGAAAGCGCGAATTTCGGAGCAGAGAGGAGAAAAGGAAAAAACCTTGGAGATCGCACCAACCCGATCCAGTCCTGACGTGGCTGGTGGGAAACAGCCGGATTTGGGCTGCATCACACAAGTGTGGCAACCCGCTCCTGTAAACAAAAGCTGCAGGAACAGCGCAGAGTTGTCCTTCGGCGCCAGCCTTGGGCCGCGGAGCTGAGGGCGCATTGCGTGTTAATATTCTGGTTGGTGGAGCTTTCCTTGTTCACCACAAAACGCAGGCTGGCTCAGTAAGCCGTGTTCTCAAGCCTTTCGCCCCCTGCCCCTTGCTGCAGCCCCTTTGCCTTCGCTTCACTATTTTATTACTCTTGTAGAATTAGCAGCTTTCCCCCCCTCTGCCAACGTGCATTTCGCAGACAGCAAACCCCTCTCTCCTTTCCACTCGTTCCCTTTGCTTCTTTATTAACAGCGTGTTGCGTGCTCGAGAGCCACTAAACAAATGCCGACTATTGTACAGCGCGTAGCTTCTGTGGCTAATCTGAACGAATTCTCTGTCAATCCCAATTCGCACTGGGTCAATCACAAAGGTAAGGACAGGACTACGCCAATAGTGCCTGGGCAGACGCAACAGCACCAGCCGTGCTAACAGCAGCTCTTGTGTGTAGGCTCGTGGACAACCAACATTGTGATTATTATCGTCTTCCGGTTTGTATTTGGCGTTATTCCATGGTCAACGCCGGAGCTGAGCTGGACACTGACGAACCTGTCATACTGCCTATTCCAGTATCTGATGTTCCATGGCATTATCGGCACGCCATTCGAGGTCAACCAGGGCGAGTACGACAACCTGACGCTGTGGGAGCAGATGGACAACGGCGAACAATATACCCCGACAAAAAAAGTTCCTGACCGTGGTCCCTATTATTGTGTAAGTGTCGACCGACGAGTCGTCTGATATGCATACACTCCCTAGTGTATTGCGTGCCAAGACATGCAACAGAATCGCCCCTATTTGGGGCTACCCGAGAATCATTTTAGCATGTGCGTAGTGCAAGACCTGTGGCATGTACGCGTTGAAAGAGGGACCAGAGGTTTCTGCGTAGAATCCCTACAACTAACACTGATGTTCTTTCTCCGTGCTCCCCTGTAGGTTCCTTATAAGCACGCACTACACAAACTACGAACGTACCGACGTTCATCATCAATTTCACCGCCTTGCTCATCATTCTCATTGCAAAGCTACCGGCGTTCCACCGGGTGCGGTTCTTTGGAATCAACATGGGCCAAAGCAGCATGCATTGAGTTGTGTCGCAGGCCATCCATTTTCCATTTCCTTCAATATTTAGTACTCCATTTCCAACACTCGTCCTCCAAGTCCACCTTCCACATCTTACCTTGTTGTCTATATTTCAAATCAAATATCTTCTACGAGATAGGTATTGTTGAAACACGCACTGGTGGGGATTGGCAATTGGCAATTGGCAAGGGTGCGGGCGGTATATGGAAATTGCTGTATGCACGCCATATACTAGAAAGCTTTGATGTTGTATGATAACAAGTACCATCGAATATAACCATCCCCTTCGTTAGAACCAACATAATAGTAGTCAACGCAATGATAACGAGTTTTGAGGAGGAGTGGTGTACAAAACAAAGGAGGATGCGAAATACTGGTCCTAAATCTATAATTTGTTTGGTTTGGTACTCCGCACATAGTGATAATGCGTATGAAAGCGAATATCGCAGCCCATAGGTAAGCTAGAAGCAGGAAGCTGGTCTCAAGGAGTCGCTACAAAGGCAAAATATCTAATGGCACATGCAAAACTGAAGAAATGAGCGTGAACTAGTGAATAGTGAGCATTTATAGTACCACTCGAGAGGCATGACCAATTATTGAACATATAGGTAAAGGAGTACGAGAAGGCGCTAGTGGCAGTAATAGGATATTGAAATATGTCAACAACATACCAATACATGCCATCAATCAGGGATACCCACCAGACTAGTATTAACAAATGTATAAACTGATAAAGACAGAAGCAATATTGGTTATTTAGTGCATAGAGTAAAGGCTTTTTTTTTTTTTTTTTTTTTTTTAGAAATTAGTGACTCTAATGCAACAATATATATGCCATTATCACTATTATCTATGTAGTTTATAAAACAGCCTATAGATCTTATTTGTGCTCCACTAGTCTATGTGATGTAGTTGCTTATGCTATCTTTATATGCTTGCTTTGTAGTTTATACTATTTATCCAGTTTGTCAAAAATGTACTAAAGGTACTTTCATTGCATGATATACTAGCTTTACTAGAATAAAGTTATGAGGAGTGAGGTGGACAAAAGAATATATCAAACTTGGCTGGCTTTCCCATTTTTCGATCAAAAATAATATAGTTGATTAGTGGTATTATAGGGGTCAGTCTTGAACTTGTAAATTTTAGTAATTTGCAATTTAGTTAGTTAAATACAAATAGTTATTTTCTGAAAAGATTTTTACTACTAATTATTATTAGTATAGATAATATTAAATATTTTATCCAGAATGTTTATATGCTTAAAAATGAGTTCTAAAATAAAAATGTTTTTAGCTATTTTACTAAAAATACTAGAAGTTATAATATGATTAAACAATTGATGAGTAGACAAGTAACTCTGTATGACCTCCTATAGTGATTCCTATATTTGGATCCATAAGGGGAATATAAGGAGCAGAATTTTTCTATTGATAAAGTAGTATACAGAGTCTTATGTTTATATTGTAGGTAGAACCTTATACTTATATGATACTATCTTGACCCAGGTCTTAATCTTAGTAGTAAACTTTATTATTTTCATATTTGTCTAAGTTGAGCAAAATATATCATACTATAACTGGTCCATAGTTGGACAATGGCATTGTTACATATCAGGGGTTCTATTTGAATT